CTGTGCCTGGCTTCTTTTACCTTTCTAAATAGTGAATCTTTTTTGATTCATGACAGGCATGAAGTCTGTCTGAAAGCTCCAGCTTTGCTCACATAATGCACAAGTAAACATGAAAATAACATGTAACTGCCCACTGTGGGCTCAGCACAGGAGGCTACAGGCAAGGGTCTGGGCTCTGCTATTGCGAGGCGAGCACAGAAATCAATCAGAACAGTTGGAGTGGCACTGAGTGTCTTTGGGGTCCAGAGAAAGAAGGAATTAGTGGGGGCTGAGGCAGACTCACATCTTGCTTCAGAAGTTTGCTGGACACAAAATGATGGACGGTGCTGTCAACCAAGTAAGCTGATTTCTACTACAAGGTCATTTTCACCCATCTTGGATGCAAACTGGTAAGGAGCTTTACAGCACATCTATTTCCCACACTTAAACTTATGTTAAACTTTCCAATCTCAAACTCACACGTCACTGGTATTCAACCTTTGCCTTTATTAGAAAGTCACAACTAAAGCTGGTCAATACCCTTAATCATCACAGCTTGCTCCCTGCCAGAACCCATTCAAACAGCCCCGCATCACTCACCTTGGGCGCACCGTCCACGACGCCTGTTCCCTTCATGTCGGTGATGTGGAGCAGCTGCCCTGAGCTCTACAGCTAATATCTCCGGCTTCAGAGGCAGATTATGCAATGTCACTGCATGCTTCTGGCTGGTTCTCAGAAACTGAATTCTATGGTGCTATCTGACAACACACGGGAAATGATCAAAAAGACTCTCCCAGCAGGCAAACTTTCTGGAAAGCACGATAAGAGTAAAATGAAAGCAGTGAAGGAGGGGAGGACCAGAAATACAAGCCACACTCCCGCCTCATTGCCTGACGTCTCACTTTGTCTATAAGTAGAGACCGTCACTCATTTGCTATGTGAAACCACAAAAGAAGAAGAAGAAAAGAAAAACACCACTCTTCTGCTTTATAGGGCGAAGTTCCTACTTTGAAGAGCTCAGTGTATGAACATACAGCATTCTTGTCCTTTGAACTCTGGGGAACAACTCCCACCCGACAGACCAAGCTCATTTCCCTGATGAGAGGCCACTAAGCCAAATTTCCGATAGCGGTCAGCTTTTCTTCCTTCCTGCTCCCCAACACTTGCCTTATGACAGCCAGGATAAAAGCAGTCAAGCAGGCCGCCTTAAAGGACACAGTCTGCACTCTACCCACCCTGTCAGTTGCGCATTCTCCCTGCTCGGAACCCCGTGCTCACCTCCTGGTCTTTGCTCACGGTACCTAATGATTAACATCTTCTGGGTGCTGGCTCTGCACTGAGGGCTATGCTGAGTCCCACACCTGTATTCTCTCTCTTAAATCAAGTCAACTAATCGTGTGTGCTGTACTTGACACCCCCGCTAGCTCATGCAGTTTCTCATCACTTGCCAACTCTTTCTACTTTCCCTACATTCAGATCCAACCTCTAGAGAGGACCTACAGCACAGCAGACACTGTGCAAAATAAGTCTGCATTTTTTTTTTTTT